TCAAAAAAAAAAAAAAAAAAAAAAGGATATAAAATATTTCACTAGCATTTTTTATTTTTTGAGACAAAATTTCACTTTGTTGCCCAGGCTAGAGTGCCGTGGAATCATCATAGCTCACAGTAACCACAACTCTTGGGCTCAAGTAATCTTCCTGCCTCAGCCTCCCAAGTAGCTGGAACTACAGGCGTGCCCTACCACTAGTTTTCTATTTTTAGTAGAGACAGGATCTTACTCTTGCTGAGGCTGGTCTCAAACTCCTAAGCTCAAGCAATCCACCTGTCTTGCCTTGCAGAGTGCTAGTATCTGCAATACAGGCATCAGCCACCACATGTGGCCTTATTAGCAAGTTTTAGAAGATTGATTATATGTTGAATATTGATTACATGTTCATATTTTGGCTATACTGCGCTAAACAAAATAGATCACTAAAACTAATGTCTTCTATTTCTAGATCTTTTTGCTTTCAAAGGATAACTACTAGGAAACGTAAAATTACATAAGGGTTCACATTCTATTTCTACTACACAGTCCTATTTTAAAGTGATCAATAATTTCTAAATCTTTGGGTATTGAGTAATGGGTGTATTCAATTGGGGGGTTTTTGTTTGTTTGGTTTTGGTTTTTGTTCGTTTGTTTGTTTGAGAGAGTCTCACTTTGTCACCCTTGGTAGAGTTCTGTGGCGTCATAGCTTGCAGGAATCTCAAACTCTTGGGCTCAAGCAATCCTCTTGCCTCAGCCTCCTGAGTAGCTGGCACGATAGGCACCCTCCACAATGCCTGGCTATTTCTAGAGATGGGGTCTTACTCTGGCTCAGGCTGGCCTCGAACCTGTGGGCTTAGGCAATCTACCCGCCTCAGCCTCGGAGTGTTAGAATTATAGACATGAGCCACTATGCCTGGCCCAGTATATACATTTGTTAAAATTCATTGAACTGCACACTTAAGACAGTTTACTGTCTTTACACTATAAAGAGCCATGATCTTTTCACCACCCAAAAGAAATTCCTGGAGGTAGTAGGTGGTCTATGAAAGACACAGACTACAAAGAACTCCTGAGTAGTAAGAGCTACAATAAAGATTTTGAAAATGGCCAGTTCACAGCTCAAGCCTATAATCCCAGCACTCTGAGAGCCTGAGGCAGGTGGATTACTTGAGCTCCGGAGTTTGAGACCAGCTTGAGGAAGAATGAGACCCCCATCTCTAAAAATAGCTGTGCGTTGTGGCAGGCAGGCACCTGTAGTCCCAGCTGCTCGGGAGGCTGAGGCAAGAGGATCAGTTGAGCCCAAGAGTTTGAGGTTGCTGTGAACTATGACACCGTGGCACTCTACTGAGGGTGACAAAATAAGACTCTGTCTCAAAAAAATAAATAAGTAGGGCGGTGCCTGTGGCTCAAAGGAGAAGGGCACCGGCCCCATATGCCAGAGGTGTTGGGTTCAAACCCAGCCCCAGCCAAAAATGGCAAAATAAATAAATAAATAAATAAGTAAAAGTAGAAAAAACTAGCCAGGTGTTGTGGTGGGCACCTGTAGTCTCAGTTATTTGAGAGACTGAGGTAGGAGGATCGCTTGAGCCCAAGAGTTTGATATTGCTGTGAGCTATGATGCCATGGCACTTTACCCACGGCAATAAAGTGAGACTCTGTCTCAAAAAAAAAATTTAAACAAGATACTCTTTATTAGTGGAAGAAAGCATCCACTAATGTGTGTGTATTTGTGAATATGTAAAGAAATCACATAGGAAGTATAATTTGGGCCCACCAAACTCTCTCAAGAAGATGGGGCATTATTTATTTATTTATTTTTTTTTTTTTGAGACAGAGTCACACTTTGTCACCCTTGGTAGAGTGCTGTGGCATTTTAGCTCACACAACCTCAAACTCCTGGGCTTAAGCAATTCTGTTGCCTCAAGCCTCCCAAGTAGCTGGGACTTACAGGTGCTGGCCAAAATGCCGGGCTATTTTTAGAGATGAGGTCTTGCTCTGGCTCAAGCTAGTCTTGAACCTGTGAGCTCAAGCAATCCACCTGTCTCGGCCTCATAAGTGCTGGGATTATAGGCGTGAGCCACCTCACCCTGCCTAGATGAGGCATTTCTTTCTTTTTTTTTTTTTAGAGACAGAGTTTTCACTTTATCGCCCACGGTAGAGTGCCGTGGCATCACACAGCTCACAGCAACCTCCAAGTCCTGAACTTAGGCGATTCTCTTGCCTCAGTCTCTTGAGTAGCTGGGACTACAGGCACCTGCCATAATGCCTGGTTATTATTATTATTTTTTGTAGCAGTTTGGCCGGGGCTGGGTTTGAACCCATCACCCTTGGTATATGGGGCCAGCACCCTGCCTATTGAGCCACAGGTGCTGCCCAAGATGGGGCATTTCTGAAAGACTGAAATACTTAGGATCAGAAGGCATCCATGTTATAGGTCTTACCTTGGGACACTTGAACAAAGCCACCAGGGAAAGAGCATCCAGAAGTTGGGGGGACGATCCAGGACATTCCTCCCTTAATGGGATTACTAAGATATATACAAGGCCTAGATCTTAACTTTCCATCATCAAAACCCTTGATGTTTTCCATTCACACAGAGGGCTACAGAATCACAAAATGTCAGGAAGTCAAGAGCTTCATACTCAGGGTTAATAAAGGATCAACCCCATGTGAAATTTCATACAAATATGAAGATTGCATACTTCAAATCACAGCCCTATTAGTTTCAAGGATTAGGCTCAAACTCCAATCTCTTTAGGAATCACAGAATGTCTACAGAAATGTTGAGTGCATCTTGTCCAAGCAGCCTACTTGACAAAGAATCTAAGATGCAGAGAGGCAAGAGAATTGCTTAAGCCCAATAGTAGGAGGTTGCTGTGAGCTGTGATGTCACAGCACTCTACCCAGGGCGACAGCTTGAGACTCTGTCTCAAAATAAATAAATAAAATAAATAAAGTAAAATATTTGTAATATTTATGATAATTGCATATCATTTAAAAAAAAGATGCAGAGAGGTTGAGTAACTTGCCCAAAGCCACACTGAGTTTGAGTTAGAAGTGATAGGACTGATACTTGCTTTCCTGTCATGAAACTCCCAAATTGAGGAACACATCACACCACCAAGGTTTACAAAACATGATTTGTAAGCTAGAAACACGGTATGTTTAGTCCTAAAGGGAAAGGCGATGGCCAAATTGTTGGCACCCATCATTATCAGGACACTCCCATGGCAAAGCCAACTCAAGAGATGAAATTACACCTTGCATGTTGGCTGGTTGAACACACCATCAGCTTTATTCCAATCCTCAGCATAAGCACAGATCTGTCAGCATATCCTGAGCAGTCCCACCTTTGCTTAAGCAGTTGCCCTGCTGGAAGCTTCTCCCTCCTACTCTCCAGGCACAGTTATTAAACTGTAGACCTCAGGGTCACTGCAAAAATGTGCAATGCCTTTGTTGTACAAGCAGCCCTGTGAAGTAGCTCACCAGTGCAACAGGCTGAACATGTCCTTGGCGTCAAGCTGTGTGTTATGCATTTTCTTATGTAACTTCATTTAATCGCAGAAGATGACTTTTGTTTTATTGTGTGGTTTTTTTTTTTTTATTTTTTGAGACAGAGCCTCAAGCTGTTGCCCTGGGTAGAGTGCCATGGCATCACAGCTCACAGCAACCTCAAACTCCTGGGCTTAAGTGATTCTCTTGCCTCAGCCTCCCAAGTAGCTGGGACTACAGGCACCCGCCACAATGCCCGGCTATTTTTTGGTTGTAGTTTTCATTGTTGTTTGGCAGGCCCAGGCTGGATTCAAACCTGCCAGCTCTGGTGTATGTGGCTGGCACTTTAGCCGCTTGAGCTACAAGTGCCAAGCCAGAAGATGACTTTTTATAAATTAAAAAGTCAAGTTCAGCTAAAGTCAAAAGCTACTCAGCTAGAAAGTAGTTTGTATGAATCCAGATGTGCCTGGCTCCAAAGTTTCTATCTGTAAATTGAATAAGTAATATAATGGGAGGAAGTTAGGCAGGTTTCATATTCAGGGTTCACAGTGATCCAAGCACAAGTGACATTTCACATAAGTATGAAGGTTTCCTACTTCAGACTGCAGCCCTATCATTCCAGGGATCAGGATGAAATCCCAGCCTCTTCAAGAAGTCTTCCCTTTCATTCCCACCAAAAATATTCTTCTGGGTTCAATTGATATCCTTAATGGTACTGCACACTTTCTTCATTGAATCAGTGTGTCAATGGCCTTCCCCTGTGGGTCCCCTTTAAGTAAAGAGCTCTATCAGTGAAAACAAGCTCATTTATCTTTGTATTCCCTGCTACACCCTCCACAGTAAACAGCAACCTAAGGTAAGGGAGGGTACACAGACGTGTACCATCTGCAATAGTCAAGTTCATAGTAGCTTTTCTTTCTTTTTTTTTTTTAAAGGGGCCATGCCATGCCAATCTTCTCTATATCATTTCAATTTTTAGTATATGTACACCATAGTTTCTTTTCTATTTTATTTTATTTTATTTTGAGACAGAGCCTCAAGCTGTTGCCCTGGGTAGAGTGCTGTGGCATCATAGCTCACAGCAACCTTCAATTCCTGGGCTTAAGTGATTCTGTTGCCTCAGCCTCTCAAGTAGCTGGGACCACAGGTGCCCACCACAACACCCGGCTATTTTTTGGTTGTAGTTGTCATTGTCGTTTGGCAGGCCGGGGCTGGATTGGAACCCGCCAGCTCTAGTGTATGTGGCTGGCACTTTAGCCGCTTGAGCCACAGGCGCCAAGCCCATAGTTTCTTTTCTTTAAAGTGTCTAATTGAAGTTACCATTGTTCATTTTCTTTCTTTCTTTTTTCTTAGAGATAGGATCTTGCTCTCACTCAGGCTGGTTTCTATCTCCTGAGCTCAAGCAATCTACCCACCATCACCTCCCAGTGTACTAGGATTATAGGTGTGAGCGACCACACCCCGCCCCATAGTTTATTTCTATTGTTACATTTAGACTGGCAGATTGGCAAAGGGATGAATACAGAGGTCATTAAGAAATCTTTTGTAGCTCTTTCCCTCCTGCCACCGATAGCGCGGAGGCAGAGGCTTAGGTGAGGTCAAAATTCAACTTCACCCGTAACCCACTGCCATGGCCGAGGGAGGCATCGCTGCTGGAGGTGTAATGGGCATTAACACGGCTTTACAAGAGGTGCTGAAGACCGCCCTCATCCATGATGGCCTTGCATGTGGAATCCACGAAGCTGCCAAAGCCTTAGACAAGTGCCAAGCCCATCTTTGTGTGCTTTGCATCCAACTGTGATGAGCCTATGTAAGTCAAGTTGGTGGAGGCCCTTTGTGCTGAACACCAAATCAACCTAATTAAGGTTGATGACAACAAGAAACTAGAGGAATGGGTAGGCCTTTGTAAAATTGACAGAGAGGGGAAACCCCGTAAAGTGGTTGGCTGCAGTTGTGTAGTAGGCAAGGATTATGGCAAAGAATCTCTGGCCAAGGATGTCATTGAAGTGTACTTCGAATGCAAGAAATGAACAAAAAAAACTTTGGTTCATGTTCCCCAAAAAAGAAAGAAAGAAAGAAAGAAATCATTTGTAGGGGCAGCACCTGTGGCTCAAAGAAGTAGAGTGGTCGCCCCATATGCCAGAGGTGATGGCTTCAAACCCAGCCCTGGCCAAAAACTGCAAAAAAAAAAAAAAGAAGAAAGAAGAAGAAAGAAGAAAGAAGAAGAAGAAGAAGAGGAAGAAGAAGAAGAAGAAGAAAGAAATCATTTGTAAATCTTATTTTGGGAATTAAGGAAAAAGTATTTTTTTCTATTTGTGGATACCACCTAAAACACTTCCAGGCTTAACACAAGCTCCTCATATAGAAATAGCACTTTATAATTCTCTAGGTGTTGGAATTGTAGTGTTTATGTTTGTTTGTTTGTTTGTTTTTGAGATAGAGTCTCAAGCTGTTGCCCTGGGTAGAGTGCCGTGGCATCATAGCTCACAGCAACCTCCAACTCCGGTTCAAGTGATTTTCTTGCCTCAGCCTCTGGAGTAGCTGGGACACCTGCCACAACGCCCAGCTAGTTTTAGAGACCAGGTCTCGCTCTTGCTCAGGCTGGTCTCTACCTCATGAGCTCACGGAATCCACCCACCTGAGCCTCCCAGAGGGCTAAGATTACAGGCGTGAGCCACCTTTGCTTAAATTGTAGTTTTTTAGGTAAGAAGGAGCTTAGAACAAGTTGTGAGGTATGCAAAATTCATCAAGCCCAGAGAGTTGTGAGTTTGAGGCTTCAGTCATGCCCGGACCCCCAGCCCCAATCCCCCAACCCCCACCCCCACCCTCATGCCTGGGAGCAATTGTCTAAAGGCACTTTTGTTCCTAACTAGAGGCCTCACCCACTGGCCCCACCCAGGAATTTGTGCTACGAAGAAAAATTTATAGCCAATCTATAGCTTACATTACAATAACATAAATTCTTGGTAAACCACCTAGGAATTCCCTCCACTTTTCCTTTAAAAATTCACTTGCAACTGCCATTAATTGGAGTGTGTAACTAGAACCTATGCTCCCCAGCTGTAGTCCTCAAACTTGGTCCAAAGAACCTCTCCACTTATGTTAATTTTGCCTTAGCTTTTTTCCTTTAGGTCAACAATCCTCGGTGATTACAGCCATCACCACCACCCCCGGCGTAGTCCATGGAGCCCAAGTACTCTGTCCTCACCACCAGCTCTGAGCAGCACACCCAATCTCAGTCCTTCCTAACTCTGAGTGTTCCCAATATCACAATGTAGCTGCTCCTAGCTTTAGGTGAGGTCTGAAGGAAGCCTGCTATCCTGGGTATGGAGGGCCACTGAAGCCCTGGCGTCACCTGGGGAAATAGGTGAGTGGATAAGGTGAAGGAGTTGGTGGTGAGAAGCTATGGAAAACAACAGGCAGCTTCTTCTTTCCTTCCAGGGAAAAAGACTCTGGATAGTCTGCCGTGGCTACAAGGGAGAAATGTCTAGCAGATCCGAGGACTGGACTTGTGCCTGGGCAGAAGCTATCATCTTGGCAACTGACCAGGAAAAAGAATCAGGTCCAAGAAAGAGGAGGGGATTCTCTCATACTTTTAATTCAGTTGGAATTCCCTCCCAGACTCCATAGGAAGGTTTGAGGGGACCAGCCTTGCTGGCGGAGGAGGCTCGGGGCCTGTGGCTCAAGCGGCTAAGGCGCCACCCACATACACCTAAGGTGGCGGGTTCAAATCCCCAGCCCAGGACCGCCAAACAACAATGATGGCTGCAACCAAAAAATGGCCGGGCGTTGTGGTGGGCGCCTGTAGTCCCAGCTACTTGGGAGGCTGAGGCAGGAGACTCACTTGAGCCCAGGAGTTGGAGGTTGCTGTGAGCTGTGATGCCATAGTACTCTACCCAGGGGGATAGCTTGAGGCTCTGTCTCAAAAAAAAAGAAAAAAAAAAAAAAGAAAGGCGGAGGAGAAGGATAAACTTGGGTTCTTCAGCCCTAGTGACAGACCAACCAGGCTCAGAGGTTACATTACAACCAGCAGATGAGAAGCCAGAGCTTTCACCAAGGTAGTCTGGCTTCAAAGTCCCTGCTCTTTCCTACCAGAGAAAAGCAGGGATCTAATCAGTAATAAATCTGGATGTTGGCAGCTGGCCCGCAGGCTGTGGGTGACCACATCAGAAAAAGCAGGGGACAGAAGTCCAGGAACATTCCTCACCAAGGCACTTAGAGTTTTGAGCTGTGATCACCTTGATTTATCTTTTCCTCCCACTGGCCTGCAAGTTCCTAGGGGGCTGGAGACTGAGTTCACAGCCCTGACTGGGCGCTTAACACAGCATCTGATCTCAGGAATGCTCACTGAATGTTTGAACCCTGATGTTTTCTGATGGGGAAGGGCGGAAAGAAACCTGACAAAACCACCATGGTCAGCTGGTAGGGATGCAAACACAGGGAGAGGAAGAGAAGGGAAAGAGTTAGGCCAAGCGCCCAGAAAAAAACCATCTCTGGATAAATGGGTCTCTCCTGACAGAGACAGAATTTCACTGAGGCCTTCTGCGCCCCCACCCCCCAGAGGTCACAGTCCTATAGCAGGTAAGTGACTTGTTTTGTTTATACACAAAAAGGTCAAAGGTCAGAAATGTTACCACAGTGCCCTGATTTAGCATTATAATATGTGTACACATTGGGGAGTAACTTTCCTTAGAGTCCTCCCAGCCTGAGGGGGCACCCAGGAGTCCAGGAGGAGAGGCTTGGAGGCTGTGGGTGGGAGGAGGGCTGAACTTGTCTAGGGGCCACTGGGAAGTAGCAAGTGACAGAGCTGGGTGAGGACCTAGCTCAGCTCTATTTTTTCAGGAAATTAGGCAGATTGACGTTATAGCATTGCATGCTTTCTACCTTTCAGGAACCAGCAAATCAAAAGGCATGATCTTGGCCTTCTAGCCAAAAAGGAGCGTGTACCTCCCTCCAACTCCTCCACCCAACTTTTTTTTTTTAATATCAAATCTAGTTCTCCAGAC